CACAACGGCTGAACGGATCTCGATGAAATTTAGCATTCATATAGAACATATCTGGAAGAACACATAGAGTGGCAAGCGACAGCTAATGCTGAATAAATGTCGAATCCAATAAGTAGACGAAATAGTAGTTAATATCAGTAGAGTACCAAATTAACAAACCAACAGATATTTCCCAGAGTTTCACCAAGGATATCGTCTCTGTACTAATGAACTCGGCTGACCTTTCCATACTAACATTTACATTACGACGCAAGCTCAAGCACTTTAGCTTTGAGTGCGATTTAATAAACGCAGCGAGAACTAATACAATTATTCTAACAGAGAATGTGTTAATATAATAATTATTTAATATAAGGCTCTAAATAGTTACTTCTACTAAAATTATGAATTCCTAGTATTTAAAGGCTATTTAAGGCCTATTTTAGTATATTCTAGTACTAAATCTATGTTAGGGGCCTTCCTTAGCAACTATTCAGGGTCTCTGAATGAGGCAATATTGTATTCCAAATTTAAATTGTTTATTTTATATGTAAAATTCTCGTGTCACAATATCAGTTACCATACTCCGAAACGGCTTGACCGATTTTTATGAAATTTTATAAGCATATTCAGATCTGAGAATCGGTTACTATCAATTTTTTAAACCCACGCCGACGGATTCACGTGCGACAGCTACTAATGTATAGATATTATATTATTATTATTAATAATATAAAAAAATATTGTTATACTTTATAAACTTTAAGAAGAGTAAATAGAAGTTAAAATATAAAATAATCATCACAAATAGGCTTTAGTGAAGGGTCCTAATCGAGTAAACATTTAAATCGATGTCGCAAGCGGGCGACGATCGCAGCCGAATCGATTACTTAACTCGTAACGGGCAATAAAATCAAAATGTATTCGCTACATTACGTACAATTTTCTGGGTGAGTAGCTTTTATTTTTAGAAAAATACCATTCACAGTTCACAGATTTCAACTAACAAAATAAAAGAATTATTTACTAGGTTTGTTTTATATTTTTTATATATTCTACGAGTTCACGGATATCGATGATAGAGCTTATTAAGAGTTTTCTTTCTTTTGTAGTTTTTTGTTATATTCTTAATGAAACCAAATTTAAGAACAACGTAAGCTTAAAATGTAGACAAAGATAAATATAATTTTGAATATTCTGACGACTATAACTGATGAATTTAAATTTGGTAAATTATGTAATTATTACTAAAATTATTGACTATTGTGAAACTATAATCGCAAGCATAGACAAGCTGATACGAGTTCACAGATAATAAATGTGACCAGAGATAATAACCGCCATTTGAAGGAAACATTGGAGTACTAAAAGATTATTATCTTCAATTGTTTTATAAAGCCTTCACTTTTATTGTTCTTAATGTTGCGGTAAACCGCGAAACGGGTATAGTTTATGCAGAATAAAAAATTATGAATTATGGTTAGTTACTATTGCTTTCGTAGATGCGTGATTATTTACAGCCAGTATCAAAATGTATTATGAATTAATGCAATTTTTCTTTTTTAGGTTTTGGAACATACATGACTGAAAATATTAAAAAGGTTGGTAACCATTTGATAAAATTTTATTTAGTTATTTTTTTCTATAAGCGTCATCAATTGTTATTATTTTTTTATATTAATATGTGTCTCATAGTATTTTAATAATGAATTTATTCTCTATGAAAAAAAAACAGATAGAAAAATGCTTTTTGTAAGCACTTGTTTCACTTACTAATATTTAAAGAGTATATTTTGATGTGCAGATAAATAAAATCAGTCATCATTAGTACTGACGTAAACTGTCGCTAGAGGACTTGGCACTTGACAGCTGTCAGTTTGACGTGACGTCATCGCGCCGGGTCGATGACAGCGCGGCAAAAAGTCCCTTTGTATTCAGCCAGTACGCGCCCGCTTCGTTCATTGTTCCGCAAAATACGCGGAAATTGCCTCTTTCTATTTTCATTCTGACAAAGTTGTCAAAGTATTTTAACGATATTGAACATGAGAAAAAAATTACACAATAAGGGTTTTTTTTAATTTTAAGTATTTAAGTTTTATTACTATACTATGATTATAGATGTAAATATGTGTATGATTTAGTAATTGTTATGCTTATGCAACTTAAGTAATTGCTTATGCATTTTTAAGTTAAATGTATAAGTTCACTAATTTTGTGTCTGCAAATCTTCTAATATTACCACATGTCAATGCGTGTCTATCATATTAAATTGTTTCAACTTTACGCTGATATGCTTTTCTACGCATGTTAGTCAAAAAGTTAAAATACGGATTTTATGTCGTCGAAAAAGAAATACAGTCATTGAAACAACAAGAATAGTAAATAAAGACGTTCCCACGTGGATTACAAGAAATCTCAACCTCTAGAAACATGTCCAATTTTATTCTGCATAAAATCACACTCAAAACCACAATATCACGACAGCAAAGCAATGTGAACATATGCATTCACAAAACATTTGTAAATGAATACGTGAAAATGTCGTTTTCTTTTACTAGAATTAAATGTGACATCAGTATTACGCGAATTTATTATTGAACTTACATTTTGTTCAATCTAACTAATATTATAAATGCGAATGATGGATGTTTGTTTGAAGGTATCTCCAGAACGATTGCATGGATCTCGCTGAAATTTGCCATAGATGTAGAACATGACCTTGGAGAACACATAGGCTAGTTTAAGCTTTTTTTTAAATCCGCGCGGACTAAGCCGTGGGCGACAGTTAGTGCTCTTTAAATATTATTTAGTAAGTGAGTGTTAAGCCGTTTGTGTAAGCTCTTTGTCTATTTTAAATATTCGCATATTTACGTTTATTCCGATTGACAACCAGGCATTCTTTATTGCTTTAACTTAATTTGTACGCAATAAATAAACATAAATAGACAAACAATCATATTCCGTTTAATGTTTTTTATATATAAGGTGGCAAACGAGCGAGCGGCCACCTGAAAGCGCTGTAATAGCAAAGTGACCGTTGCCCATAGACTTTCCCTTTAATCGACGGAGGAGAGGATGCACAGAAAGAAAATATTTTCCCTTTTCATGCATCCGGAAAGTCCACTTCCACTTCCCATCCTTTCCATACAAGAAAAAAGGGTGGAAAGGAAAAGTGGACTAAATAAGGCCTCTAGGACGCACATTCATCAGACGAAACGCGGAATTGCTTCCACTTCACGCCTGTCTTCTGTATGGTCGTGGTATTTCACCGGGCGAGCCGGTACAATACGTGCGAAGATGGTAAAGCGGGCTCTACCATTGTTAAATTGATATTATCTTTTCCGGATTTTAGTTGAAAAAAATCTTTACAGTAACAACAAATTGTAATAACATTGTTTGTAAGACAATAAGATATCGACACGAATGAAATATCGCATGTTATACGTTTCACATGTTTAAATACTTCTTAACAACATGATTATGTAAATCATAAATATGTAAACATCTTGGATGGATATCGACAATGGAAACGGATTACTTTTTTTCTTAAATACTAGCGTTATGATTGAAATATTTGATGTGCGTGTTTTGGTATTTAATAAACACTATAAACAGTATAAACAGTTAAAGCGTCAATAGCCTAATGGTTAAGTGTACGGATTTCCGATCACGAGGTCGGGGGTTCGAATCCCGCCTTTCGACTATTGTCGTAAACCATATCCTAGCACAAGCGAAGAGCTTAGTTGGAATGGTAAAAGAAATATTAGTAAATAGACAAAAAAATCTGGTAATATTAAAAAAAAGTAGTTTTTAAGACATTCATTTGTTATAGCTGTCGCCCGTGATTCCGTCTGCGCGGAATTAAAACTCACTAACTAGCCTATGTGTTCTTCTAGCCTATGTTCTACATCTATGCCAAATATCAGCGAGATCCATATAACCGTTCTCGAGATACCTTTAAACAAACATCCATTCGCATCACATCACATCCATCTAAACATTCGCATTTATTATATATTAGTAAGATTTTTTTCTTTTTAATTAAAAATTTAATGATAGTCTTAGTGGTTATTGAATTACCTACCTTACTAACTATTCACTTTTAGGTATGTAATAAATTTATATTCATTGTATAAGAAACCATAAAATAAAGTCTTCTTGACAAAAATCATACTAGAAATCTTAAGAGCTTATTTTAATTTTTGTCAGCGCAATATAATATAATCAAAACCTACGCTTCCTAGAAATTTTAATAATTACTAGTGGTCGCCGTCAATAATTGTGTTGACTCCGTCCGTGCGAAATTAATATAATAATCAGAAGCCTATGCGTTCTTTCAGACTATGTTCTGTATTTATGCCAAATTTCAGCGAAATCCATGCAACGGTTCTGGAGATGCCGTCTAAAAAATATCCATTCAACTAAATATTCGCATTTATAATATTAATAAGATTGAAAACTCATAATTATTAATAATATTTCGGCATCATAGGAAATGTTGTGTTACATTTTGTAGTAAAGGTAAATAATAATAATAAAAATTCATCTCGGAATTACAATTCATCCGCGATGCATAAACGCAGCGGTGAGATTTCTAAGCATTAAAGAGATAATTTATTGATACCGCAACATGAGAAAACACACACATGCAATTACGATGGTAAAGATAATGTACGCGTGCACAAAGTTAAAGTGGATTTCCACTGTCCAAATATTTTTTGAAAAAAAAACAAAAAGTATTTTTTGTTAACACAAATAATTTATTTTTAAAACAAATAAATATTTGTCAACCTTTAAATATATATTTTTTTTGTTTTCGTTTCGTACAAATAATTATTAATTTCTATGTTCTTTCTAGTTATTATTAAATTAACCATTTTTCTGATTGTTTTTAAAAAATATCAATATTTTTTTTGGTGCGAAATATATATTTTCATTCGAATATTTTCGCGAATCATCTTCAATTATTTTTGTCTTAATTAAAAAAAAATAATATCCGTAAAAAAAATCAACAAACTTACCAAAAAGTAGTACGATCTTCATTTTGTCTTCAAGCAACACCGGCACAGAATTAAAAAAAAAAAATTAGAAATTTGAGATTCGATATTTGAAATTCAAAAGAACGGCGGCGTTCGGTTCGCGTCACCGCCGGGCCGCGTGTGATGTGCATGCGCGCGCGCAGTACCGAATGCCTTGCACGTTCACTTTCTACGTGGTGGGGTTGGAACACGGGGAAGACAAGGGTTTGTTACCATTGTTTCCAGTCCATTTTAATTTCATTAGTAATATCGGGTACGTCACGAAAGGTTGACGTCAGTTCATTGCGCGATTGGCAGTAGAAATTGTCCGATTTAAATTTTCGCGCGGAATTACAAAAAAAATTGAAAACCTATATGTTCTTCGAGACTATGTTCTATATCTATACCAAATTTCATCGAAATCCGTTAAACACTTCTAACAAACATCCATCCATTCATCTATACATCCAAACAATCGCATAATATTAGTAAGCTTAAGTGGCAGTTCTAACAGCGTGTCGAGTTTATTTCTAGAATGTACTATTTTCAAATGTTTGTAGATTTTTCTAATATTATTTTTTTTCTTAATTGAATATTTATCTCTTAATTTAGATATTTATCTCTGAATCACACACATCGCTGCACATCTCATGCGTGTTTGCGTGTCTGTCTGCTAAACTGCATTTTATTTCTATATATCGATTTTTTTAAAGATTCTAACATGATAGAGATTTTTAGAAGATACTGATATCGTGGCATTAGAAATAGTTATTTGATTTATTACTATTGTGACTAGGTAACCCTTTTTTCCAGAGAGAAATGCTTTATGCGTACTCCGCGCCCCGGGGGGTACGTGGTAGTTATGTGGGATTCTCCTCCATATCGAAGGCATACCCACTAAACCTCTCTGTTCCTCCAACGCATCGGGACGGGGCCACGGCCACGCTATCGCTCTCGTCCGCGGCCCCGTGACTAGTCAACCCACTAGGGTTGATGTAATGGTAATGGTTTACACTAGTAAACCATTATAACTAATGAGACGACATCTGTAATAGAAATAGCAAAATCGCGCGATTAGTCGCTTAGTGGAAAAGGAGTTTTAAAAACTTTACTCACTGAAAATGGAATTAGTTATTTAAGAACAAATACTGACTATATTACGAAGGGAATAACAATGAATTGGACGTCGAGTTGTAACCCCAAAAGTCCCCACTGAGGGGCTCGGAGCCTACCCTAAGTTAGGGGTGACTACGCCAGAGTCAACTACGATAGCCAAGTGCATCTTGGTTAATTTCTTCGTAGATATGTGCAGGTTGCATTACGATGTTTTCTTAACCGTAAGAACGTTGATAAATGTACATATGTTAATGGAAAAACACATTGGTATATCAGGATTTGAACCCAGGGGCTGCAGATTACAAATCAAGTGATCCCCTAAGCCACCGACGCTTTACCTATGTATTATATTATTATTATATAGGGTCTTTTATTTATGTAAACCCTACGTTAGGGTGTAACAAATACTTTTGGTTTGCGACCCTGCCGAGATTCCGTGACGCAAGAAGCGAGGTTAAATTCCAAACGATATAATAAGCTATTGTCAAAGTTTATGATTAATTTAGTTACGTCATTATGAATTACGAAAATGGCATAATAGAGGTAACCGAGGTATTTCGTATAAAAATGTTTTTTTTTTCTATATCATGCTGACGTAATATTGGTATGAAAGATGTTTTGAGATTCGTAATATTTTTATAAGGAATACTTCATCGGCATATCATATGATTTTGGCTAAGTTCTTTAACACACAGACGGATGTTTGTTAGATGGTTTCCAGAACGGCTGCACGGATTTAGTTGAAATTTGGCATAGAGCATTACCTGAAAGAACTAATTACGGTAACACACGCACGCGCACACGCGCACGCACGCACACACACACACACAAACTCTAATTTGCTATGTATATTGTAAAGGAAAGGCGCCGGTGTTTGTCACACAGTTCAGACTCCAACGCTCAACCTGTTTGTTTAATTGTATAAGTGTATACATTTTTAATAATAAATTGAATAAATAAATAAATTCCGTGCGGAAAGGGTCACGGGCGACAGCTAGTTATTGAATATATTTAGTCTTATAACCAAAATACTTGCAAACAAAATACGTATATACAAAGATAAATTAATAATGAAAAATATACATCATTAAGATTTTCCGTTTCGTGATTTAAAAAAAAATCGCCATCAAAAATCTTTTCTAATTCAGTATTTTATAAGTGGCCAATTAGAGGGCACATGTTCGTTCTGAAAGAAAAATATATTTTTACTGGAAATATTTGTCGTCTATCGTCTGTTTGTTGAAAGATGTGAAGAAGATTCTTGGAACTTGCTTGACAATTATTGTCTCTAATTGGAAGTTTATTCGTACTCGTTAGTTAGAGATTTAGGAAATAAAAATGTGTAATACGACAATATATAATACAATTAAAATCTTACTAATATTATAAATGCGAATGTTTCGATGGATGGATGTTTGTTTGAAGATATCACCTGAACGGTTCAACGGATCTTGATGACATTTTTCACAGATGTAGAACATAGTTTGCAAGAACATATAGGCTACTCATTAAGTTTTTATTAGCGCAGACGGAGTCGCGGGCAACAGCTAGTTATATCATAATCGAAAATATAATAACGTTAAATGGTCTAATACGATACTATGCTAAAATAGTTAAATACATAAGGATGTATTTAATATATAATATTATGTATAAAACGAATTAAAAATGTACAAAAATATTTATTATATATCTACAATGTTAAAAATGTTCTTAATACAATAAAAACAATAGCATAAATAACAATTGTTATGAGGCCCAACCATCCGGCTTAAGGCCGCGAAAATTTCATTGTTTTAACAACCAAAGCAAATTCTTAAGGCCCGTTTCCATCGTGCGTAACTCTACGGAAGGAGAATTCATCGTGGAAACAATGTTGCATGTTTCAACTTCATGTTTTTTATATCATAAAGTTCAAAACAATTAAGCAGTCACCTGAATTCGCCGCATAGCGAAGCGACCGATGTCCATAGTCAAGACGGACTCATCCGTCAAATTTACTTGCCCTTCCTATCTTTTCCTTGTAATAGAAAGGTGGAAACGGAAAGAGGACTTTAATTAGACCTCTTTGTGTCAATTTCGCGTTTTGCTTCGGTTTTGGTTCACTTACCCTACTGTATGCTGGAGATGTCAATAATTTGGCGAATAGTATGTATGCTCGCCGTCGAAAAGCTGGTGGAAACCCGCCTTAACAGTCTTAACATTGACTTAACGATATCAAGATATTTGACTATGGTCCATTTGCAATCTCTAGTCAACCTTGGTAGGGGAAAGGCAATCATTTTCTTTGTCTTATGTATTAGGTAATGATAGTATCATTTATGATTCATTCAATTGTGGCCCAATTTTTTTTGAAATAATGATGAATAATAAAATGTTGTAACAACTTGCTATAATTTTTTTTAACAGTGGTAGAGCCCGCTTTAACATCTTCGCACGAATTGGCTCGGCTCGCCCGGTGAAATACCACGACCACACAGAAGACAGGCGTAAAGTGGAAGCTATTCCGCGTACAGTCTGATGAGTGTGCGTGTCGGTGGCCTAATTTAGTCCTCTTTCCCTTCCTTCCCTTTTTCTTAAAAAGAAAGGATGGGAAGTGGAAGTGGACTTTCCGGATGAGAGGATGCATGGAAATGTTTTCTTTCTGTGCATCCTCTCCTCCGACGATTAAAGGTAGGCAACGCTTATGCAATTGCGTATGTCTATGGGCAACGGTCACTTCGCTATTTCAGCGATTTCAGGTGGCCGCTCGCTCGTTTGCCACCTTATGATATGGAAAAAAAAATAATGTATTCTTGCAACACTGACGGAGTAATAATGTATTATACGAGTTGTTAATTTGATGTTTTTTTACATAAATTGGAATAACCGAGATGTATTTAGTATTTTTTAGTAAAATTAAATAGCTATCAGTAAGATAAGATGTTTTTTTATCTAAAAAATATTTCTTTCTACCATTCCAACTAAGCTCTAGGCTTGTGCTAGGATATGGTTTACGACAATAGTCGAATGGCGGGATTCGAACTCTCGGCCACTTGATCAGAAATCCGTACCTCTAACCAATAGGCTATTGTAGTTTTGTTGCTAACCTACCCTAAGTTAAGGGTGACTAGGCTGTAGTCAACCACGCTGGCCAAGTGCGGATTGACTTCACACATCTTTGAATTTCTTAGATATGTGTAGGTTGCATCACGATGTTTTCCTTCGCCGTAACAACGTCGGATAACGTCGGTAAATCGGAAATCGAAAAACACATTTGTACATGGCGGTATTCGAACCCAGGACCTGCAGATTGCAAGTCAAGTGCTTGACCACTGAGCCACCGAGGCTCTGTTAGTTCTCTTATTATTATAAAATATACATTAATATTTCATTTTATATTAATTTATCAAATTTTAATAATAGTATTAAATTATTAATTTCTTTAAAAGTTACTTTCGGAGTTTTTTTCATATTTTGGATGTCCTTTCTAGACATTCTAAACTCTGCAATAGCAGTTCCCACCGCAGCGACCTTGTTTACCGTTACGGTTTTAATGAATTTGAGTTATTGTATTATTAAAAGTAAAGGCTAAATAATTAGTTTTTAGGAGGTTATTCTTTTATATCATACTATCGTGAGACTGACGGTGTTTTGATTAAAATTGCACATTACTTAAGATTTAAAATCAATGTAAAATGTAATTAAGAGAGATATAGTGACTTATTTTTGTAAAAGTTGCACCGACCTGTACAGATGGACAGGATATAAAACGTATTATTTGGTGCCTATTTCATTTTCGCCGTTTTGTCGCTGATGGTAGTGCAATGTAGCGGTTGTGTGAATTCGAACTTATAATATAGATAGAATTAACTATCACGTAAAAACAGGCGCGTTGGAACGAAGCAAAAGTTATAATTTCCAAGCAATCGCCTATCCATTTATAAAGATACTAGGTGTCGCCCACGAATCCGTCCGCGCGGAGTGAAAAAAAAAAAAACTTAATTAGTAGCCTATGTGTTCTTGCAGACATGCTCTACATCTATGTCAAATT